GGCGTGCGGTCTGCGCAAGGAGTCCATCGGATTCCATTAGGATTCGCTGAGGCTTCGGTGGGATTCCTTAGGATTCCTCCGGGTTCGCTCGGTTTCCTCAGGATTCCCTTCGGATTCGCTAGCACTTCTTCAAGATCCCCTTAGGATTCCCTCAGGATTCCTAGGCGCTTATACACTTCAGGGATTCCTGAGGCGCGCAAGCGCGAACCCGGACGGGAACGGCGCGCGGTCTGCGCAAGGATTCCTCAGCATTCCACTAGGATTCGCTGAGGATTCGGTAGGATTCCTTCGGATTCCTTAGGCCCCCTTCGGATTCGCTAGGTTTCCTTAGCATTCCCTGAGGATTCGCTAGCATCCCTTTAGGATTCCCTTAGGATTCCCTCAGGATTCCCAGGCGATCATACACTTCAGGGATTCCTGAGGCGCGCAAGCGCGACCCCGGACGGGAACGGCGTGCGGTCTGCGCAAGGATTCCTTAGCATTCCACTAGGATTCGCTGAGGATTCGGTGGGATTCCTTAGGATTCCTTCGGCTTCCGTCGGATTCGCTAGCATTCCTTAGCATTCCCTCCGGATTCGCTAGAATTCGAGGATCCCCTTAGGATTCCCTCAGGATTCCTAGGCGCTCATACATTTCAGGGGTTCCTGAGGCGCGCAAGCGCGACCCCGGACGGGAACGGCGTGCGGTCTGCGCAAGGATTCTTTAGGATTCCATTCGGATTCGCTGGGGATTCGGCAGGATTCCTCAGGATTCCCTAGGGTTCCTTCGGATTCGCTAGCATTCCTTAGCATTCCCTTAGGATCCGCTGGCATTTCAGGATTCCCTTAGGATTCCCTCAGGCTTCCTAGGCGCTCATGCACTTCAGGGATTCCTGAGGCGCGCAAGCGCGATCCTGGACGGGAACGGCGTGCGGTCTGCGCAAGGATTCCCTAGGATTCCATTAGGATTCGATGAGAATTCGGTCGGATTCATTGGGATTCCTTCGGATTCCTTCGGATTCGCTAGCATCCCTTAGGATTCCATTAGGATTCGCTAGCATTCCTTCGGGATTCCCTTAGGATTCCCTTAGGATTCCCTCAGGATTCCTAGGCGCTTATACACTTCAGGGATTCCTGAGGCGCGCAAGCGCGAACCCGGACGGGAACGGCGTGCGGTCTGCGCGAGGATTCCTTAGGATTCCATTAGGACTCGCTGGGGATACGGTAGGATTCCTTAGGAGTACTTAGGGTTCCTTCGGATTCGCTAGCATTCCTTAGCATTCCCTGAGGATTCGCTAGCACGTCAGGATCCCCTCGGGATTCCCTCAGGATTCCTACGCGCTCATGCACTTCAGGGATTCCTGAGGCGCGCAAGCGCGAACCCGGACGGGAACGGCGTGCGGTCTGCGCGAGGATTCCTTGGGATTCCATTGGGATTCGCTGAGGATTCGGTAGGATTCCTTAGGAGTACTTTGGGTTCCTCCGGATTCGCTAGGCTTCCTTGGCATTCCCTTCGGATTCGCTAGCATTTCAGGATTCCCTTAGGATTCCCTCAGGATTCCTAGGCGCTTATACACTTGAGGGATTCCTGAGGCGCGCACGCGCGAACCCGGACGGGAACGGCGCGCGGTCTGCGCAAGGATTCCTTAGCATTCCACTAGGATTCGTTGAGGATTCGGTGGGATTCCTTCGGATTCCTTAGGCCTCCTTCGGATTCGCTAGCATTCCTCAGGATTCCCTTCGGATTCGCTAGCATTCCTTACGGATTCCCTTAGGATTCCCTCAGGATTCCTAGGCGGTTATACGTTTCAGGGATTCCTGAGTCGCGCAAGCGCGAACCCGGACGGGAACGGCGTGCGGTCTGCGCGAGGTTTCCTTAGGATTCCATTAGGATTCGCTGAGGATTCGGTAGGACTCCTTAGGATTATCTAGGATTACTTCGGATTCGCTAGGTTTCCTGAGCATCCCCTTAGGATTCGCTAGGATTCCTTCAGGATTCCGTTAGGATTCCCTCAGGATTCCTAGGCGCTCATGCACGTCAGTGATTCCTGAGGCGCACATGCGCGAACCCGGACGGGAACGGCGTGCGGTCCGCGCAAGGATTCCTTAGGATTCCATTAGGATTCGCTGAGGATTCGGTGGGATTCCTTAGGAGTGCTTAGGATTCTTGCGGATTCGCTAGCATTCCTTAGGATTCCCTTCGGATTCGCGAGCATTCCTTCAGGATTCCCTTAGGATTCCCTCTGGATTTCTAAGCGCTCATACACTTCAGTGATTCCTGAGGCGCGCAAGCGCGAACCCGGACGGGAACGGCGTGCGGTCTGCGCGAGGATTCCTCAGGATTCCATTAGGATTCGCTGAGGCTTCGGTGGGATTCCTTCGGATTCGCTAGCATTCCTTAGCATTCCCTTCGGATTCGCTAGCATTCCTTCAAGATTCCCTTAGGATTCCCTCAGGATTCCTAGGCGCTTATACACTTCAGGAATTCCTGAGGCGCGCAAGCGCGAACCCGGACGGGAACGGCGTGCGGTCTGCGCAAGGATTCCTTAGGATTCCATTCGGAGTCGCTGGGGATTCGGTAGGATTCCTTGGGATTCCTTAGGAGTACTTAGGGTTCCTTCGGATTCGCTAGCATTCCTTAGCATTTCATTAGGAGACGCTGGCATTCCTACAGGATTTCCTTAGGATTCCCTCAGGATTCTTAGGCGCTTATACACTTCAGGGATTCCTGGAGCGCGCAAGCGCGAACCCGGACGGGAACGGCACGCGGTCTGCGCAAGGATTCCTGAAGATTCCATTCGGATTCGCTGAGGATTCGGTCGGATTCCTTAGGATTCCTTAGGGTTCCTTCGGATTCGCTAGGCTTCCTTAGGATCCCCTTCGGATTCGCTAGCATTCCTTCAGGATTCCCTTAGGATTCCCTCGGGATTCCTAGGCGCTCATACACTTCAGGGATTCCTGAGGCGCGCAAGCGCGAACCCGGACGGGCACGGCGTGGGGCGCGGGACCCGGACGGGCACGGCGTGGGGCGTGGGGCCCGGACGGGCACGGCGTGGGGCGTGGGACCCGGACGGGCACGGCGTACGGCGTGGTACCCGGACGGGCACGGCGTGGGGCCCGGACGGGCACGGCGTTCCCTAGTAGTAGTAGTAGTAGTAGTAGTAGTAGTAGTAGTAGTAGTAGTAGTAGTAGTAGTAGTAGTAGTAGTAGTAGTAGTAGTAGTAGTAGTAGTAGTAGTAGTAGTAGTAGTAGTCGTAGTAGTAGTAGTAGTAGTAGTAGTAGTAGTAGTAGTAGTAGTAGTAGTAGTAGTAGTAGTAGTAGTAGTAGTAGTAGTAGTAGTAGTAGTAGTAGTAGTAGTAGTAGTAGTAGTAGTAGTAGTACTAGTAGTAGTAGTAGTAGAAGAAGAAGTAGTAGTAGTAGTAGCAGTAGTAGTAGTAGTAGTAGTAGTAGTAGTAGTAGTAGTAGTAGTAGTAGTAGTAGTAGTAGTATAGTAGTAGTAGTAGTAGTAGTAGCAGCTGCAGCAGCAGCAGCAGCAGTAGTAGTAGTCGTAGTAGTAGTAGTAGTAGCAGTAGCAGTAGCAGTAGCAGTAGTAGTAATAATAGTCGTCGGCGTAGCTATAACATTATTGTGTTATTAGTATGGCCATTCGTATGTTATGAACATCAGTACTACTCGTACTACTTGTACTTGCAACACTGTACTTGTAAATACTAGTACAGCGTGACGTTGGTGATTATGGAAGTAATTACGATTACTATGAGTATTAATATTGGTATGGCTACTGTGCTCAGTGACACTACAACTAAAACTAGTACCAGCATCATCATCATCATCAGCAGCAGCAGCATCATCATCACTACCATCATCATCATCATCATCATCATCATCATCATCATCAGAATCAGCATCATCACTATCACCGCACCATCGTCATCATCGCCATCACCATCACCAGCCTCATCACCATCCTCAGCATCATTCTCATCAACATCATCATCACCATCGTCGCCATCAGCATCATCGTCATCATCACCATTACCAGTATCACCATCACCCTCATCATCAGCATCATCAGCACCATCATCGTCATCGTCATCGTCATCACCAGCATCATCATTACCAGCATTGGCATCATCATCGTTTGCATCATCAGCATCAGCATCATCAATATCATCGTCATGAGCATCGTCGTCTTCGTCGTCAGCATCAGCATCAGCATCCGTATCAGCATCATCAGCATAATTATCAGCAGCAGCAGCATCATCTCCATCATCATCTTATCGGCGGCGAGCGAAGGGGGGAAGCGAGAATGAGAAGCCCTTCTCAGAAGGCGACGGGCTTCTCAGAAGCCCTCGCGCTTTCTGAGAATATGTCTGCGTCTTCGGGAAAGGTTTAGAACCTGTCTCAGAAGGCCAGGGGGCTTCCGAGCCTTCTGAGAAGGCCCACCCCTTCCCCACTTCCCAACAGCGCTGACCGCTGGTCCTCATCAACAACATCATCAGCATCATCAGCATCATCAACATCTGCATCATGATCATAATCAGCAGCAGCAGCATGACCATCATCGTCGTCATACTCATGCTCATCCACATCAGCATCATCATCAGCAACATCATCACCATCATCATCAGCATCATCATAATCCGCAGCAGCATCATAAGCATCATCATCATCATCATCATCATCATCATCATCATCCTCACCACCATCATCACCATCACGACCACCACCACCACCATAACCATCAGAATTCTCATCAGCGTCGTCAGCACCATCATCGCCACAGCGTCATCAGCATCGTCAGCATCACCATGATCGTATTTTTTTCAGATTGTGACTCGGATTCGTATTCGTCTCCTCTTCCTTCGTAGTAAGATTATCATCACTATTAGCATCCTCATCACGGGTCTTCCCCCAACCCTTCCTCCGCCACAAGCGCCACCTCCTCCGCCGAATCGGTGTCCTCCCTCCGCCCACATCTGCGCCCCCACTTGAACTCCGAGCACGCCCCACGAGCCCCTCCAGCTGTCGAGCGAGTCGGGGCGGCGGGCGCCGCAGCACACGTCCCAGAGGTCGGCGAACCTGGAGGGCGGCGCAGGCGGAGAGGGGGCGGGGGAGGGGGAGAGGAGGGAGGCAGGGAAAGAGGAGGCACTACCATGGCAGTCAGGTGCGCCGAGAGCGGGACAAGGACAGGCAAGACACCTGGGGCGAGACGAGCGAGTGCAGCACGAAGCCGAGAAGAGAGAAAGGTAAGACACGAAGCAAAAGCCACGCGAACTACCGAGGGCGAAGCCAAAAACAAGTGCCATCAAAACACAGGAGACGGCGGGGATCGCCCCCTCACTCCCCCGGGAATGGGTCTTTGCCCAGCTCGAGGGCTCGAATATACGCACTTAGCATCCTAGCTGGTTGCAAGCGAACACTCACCCCAGAGCCGAGACCGCGGGGCCGACGGCTCGGGCCTGGCCCCACAACGAAGGCAGAATGCAAGGGTGGGCCCAGCAATGACGATGACGTGACGTGACCTCTGGCACGACCAGGCCCAACAGGGCCCTGACCGGGGAGGGGGAGGTCGGGAGGAACGGCATCTCGAACGACCCAGGACCCCCCATGCCGCTGGTCCCCAGGGGCACTGTCCCTCTTGGGAGCCGGCTGCCCCCTTGTGACTCCCAGACCTGAGGCAAGCCTGGGCGGGGCGGCACGGGCAACAACCCGCGGCGCCTTTAAGGGCGGGACCCCCGAGGCCTCCTCCCGCCACCCGCACACTCCCTCTCATTCCTGGCCCGAGTCCTGTTCGGAGGAGAGGGGGGGCGCGGAGGCTCCATAGAGCCTTGCACACGCGCGGCCTTCGCTATGGGCGTGCACGCGTCCTTGAGGCCCCGATATCGCTGCTCGGCCTCGCTGCAAAACCTCACCCGTTGAAACGCCGGGAGCCGTTCGGGGGCCACGGAGACCGAAAAAATGCGGCTCTGCGTCAGGCTCGGGCCCCTGGGACCCCCCACCTCGGCCACAAAAGGACCATCACAAGCGGGCGGGGAGGGGGTCGAGGCTCCAGCAAGCGCCAGGGTCACCCCAACGGGCAGCGCAACGGCCACGACCCTCGGCGAAGAACCAGGGCCCCACAGGATTGCCGCCTCGGCCACTCTGAACGCGCGGAGCCCCGCGCCTGCAAAAACGGGGCAGCGTTCGCACAACCACCTCTTGCCTCGGCGGCGGCAGCCGCGCGGGGCCGCGCCTCCGCTGCGGGGCGACCTCCCTGCTCTCGCCAGCGGCATCCGAGGTCAGCAGGGCGGCGCCTCGCCACCTCCACCCTGTCGGCTGCCGCAGCACCAGCCCACAGGAGCTCGAAATCGGCGGCGACCCATGAGGCCGTCGGCCGCGGGCGGTCCAGGGCGCGCGCGCGGCGCTACACGACGCGGTCGGGCAAGCCGTAGAACCTGCGCCCACGTTTCGCCGCCTGGCCCGCCCCCACGCGCCGCCCGCCCGACGGCCACGCACGCGATTGCAGGCGAGAGGGGCGAGCGCTGCATTCGCAGCGGCATCCATGCCGCCGTGCTACTCAACGCAGCGCCATAGCCGCTTCCACACGTCCACGTTGTTCCGCGCAGCAGCCGAACATTTGCCTCGATGGCGCACAGCTCAGCCCAGGCAGACGTGCGCCTCGGCCCTGGCAGAAGGCCGAACGCTGCACCGCGGTAGCTGCTGTCGCCGACCATCACAAAACCCCTGCCCGCTCTCCACGCAACAAAGGAGCTCGCGGCGCGACCCGCCCGCGAGCGGGCGCCCAGCGACCAACAGCCGTTGGACGCGAGCTCCACGATGAAGGCGCCAAACGCCCGAGTCGTCGCGGGCGAGCAAGGCGGGCAAGGACGTTCTGGGGTGGAGGGTCCGCGTGTAGAGCCAACCCCCAGCCGCCGCCAGCAGCGCAGCGTCGTTCACGGCATGCTCGCGGTCGTCGCCCAAGCATGGGCAACACGAGCACCGCTGAGAAAAAATACCAAGCACGCCTGCGCATCGCTGGCAGTCCGGGCTGGAGGCGCAGGGGTACCGGCATAGGCGCCGCTGAGAGAAGTGGCACCTCATGGCTGCCGTCCGACGGGCAGCGCGTGCGATGGGATCGAGGACCCAGTTCTCGGTCTTCGCCCCAGCATTCAGGAGCCCTCCGAGAGGGGCCAGCCAGATGCTAACAGGATCCTCGCGGGGCGGGCCAGGACCGCCGGGCATGGCGTCGGCCCGCAGCGCCCAGGTAGACCATCCCACCGCCTCGTAGCCCCGGAGGGCGAGACACGTCACGATGGGCGGCGACGCAGCACGCAGGTCCAGCACCTCACCCGAGCGGGCCCGCACCGCAAACGCCGACGAACCAATCCACCCGAGGCGCTGCACGGACCGAGCGAGCGCCCCAGCTGGCCCCGCCACTCGCCCCCAGCATCGGCCACCAGCCGTCGTCACCTCGAGGAACTGAATCCGCCAGGCGCGCCGAGTAACAGCATGAGGCACCGCGCCGGCGCGAAAAATGCGAGCCCAGTCATGAACAGGCCCAGCAATAGCAGTGCAAGCAGGATGGGTGGCAGGCGAGGCGCCCCGCTGCGAGGCGATCCAGTGGGAGCCCCCACGGGGTCCGCCTAGCCCTGCTTCACTAGGGGCGTCATCTTGGTGATAACGTGCGGGGCTGCCCCCGGAATCCCGAGGCCGTCGGGGGCGGTCGGCCCCACGGCAGCCCGAGCGACTTCCCCGAACTTGAGCCCCGAGGAAGCCAGTCGCCGAAAGTGGCGCCCTCGCTTGGACACCCTGCGCACGCGGCGACGTAGAACCGAGGACTGAATAGGCTTCCCCGTGGAAACCTCCAGGCCCAAGAACTCCAGCCACGACTGCTGCGACGCGCTGCCCATGCACCTCCTCGGAGGTCGCGAGCAGCGCATTGGACTCGGCGACGGGCAGGCCCCGGCCCTGCACGGCGGCGCACAGCATCTTGATGGAATCCACGGACAGCTCCTGCAGCGCGCGAAACTGGCCGACGACCTGCAGGGCAAGGTCGCCGGCGAAAATGTCAAGGGAGTCGCGGAAGCCCCGATTGGCGTCGAGGGCGCGCGGAGTTAGGCGCTCTCCATAAGGCGCACATGGCGGAGAGCAAGGCGAGCTGCGCAAAGGCCATGGCGAACCTCCAGCCAGGGAGAGCACCACGATCCACGATCACCGAGTAGGACGTAACATGCGGCCACACCAGCCACCAGCATGGCCAGGGCGCACGCGAGCAGCTGCCTTGGGAAAGAATGCTGGCGCGTTTTTCAGCCAGCCGCCTCCAGTACACACGATCGAAGCACTTCTCGATGTCCACGACGGCCGTGACCACGCCGCCCCCATCTGCCAAGGCCGCCTCGGCATGCAGCAAGGCGCGCGAGGCCACGCCCAGCGCGGTCTTGCCCGCCGCCAACGCAGTAGGGCCGCCGGTGCTCCAGGGGCCAAGCCCGCAACTGGCCGCCACGAACCTGCGACCATATTCGGCGGGCGGCCTGCAGCGGCGCAATCTGCCGCCAGCCTCCTGTCGGCTTGGCCAGCAGAGCGACGCGGACGGCCACGAGCTGGGTCGGCCACCTCCCCCAAAGCTCAGCAAGCCACCTGATGTAGACAAGCAGGAGAGCGTAGAATCGCCGAGGAGACTGCGCGCCCGCGGCGTCAGCACCCTGCCGCGCGCCAAGCGAAGCTCTCGGCAGCAACGCGCACCTCGGCGATGCGCGGGATGGCCAGAGCGGCCTTCGGCAGAGAGGCGAGCGCGCGAGCCATGTCATCCGTCTCGGGGAAATCGCGGAGGCGCTCCAGCTCGAAATGCCGCTCGCCAGCACCTGCCCCTGCCACCCGCGCGGCCGTCGGCATAATGGAGACAGGCGGAGCACTCCACATCTGATCGTCGGCCACGCGCTGAGCTGCGGCAGCGCGCTGCACGCGCCGAAGGACCTGCGAGCGGGGAGCCCAAGCGGCCCGGCGAGAAAGAACAGCGGCTCGAACCTGCCCCCCATCGCACGTCTTGGCCCATTCGGCGAAGGACTTACGTCGAGCGCGCATGGCCCCCAGCTCCAGCTGCCAGGCAAAGTCGCGCGGCCAGGCCACGACAGCCCGCGCCGCCACGCAGCCCACGGCCTGCACGTAGGCCAGGCCCGCGCCAGAAGTCATAAGAATGCTCAGGGCGGCGCTGGGAGGGCTGAGGCGGCGCCGGCAACGCGAGCCCACCGGAGGCCCCAGCCCCGCCGGCAGCTCCACCACCACGGGGAAGCGGGAGCCCGCAGGCCAAAGAGGCACGGGCTGCGGCTCCGACGGGGCGCCCGAGATCAAGAGGCAGGCCAACCAGTAGTCGACGTTGCTATAGTTTCCCTGCGCGCCGACGTTTTCCCCGCGAGGCCGCGCGACAACCCCGGCGGGCACGCAGTCCAGGAAGCTGCGGTTCAGAAGCGCCACCGGGTCACAGTTCCAGTCAGCAGCCATGGCGAAGGGCCGGTTGCAGCCACGCAGCGCCAAGGCAATCTCGAACAACCTGCAGGAGTTAACGTCAAACCACTTGTCGACCTCGAAATAGGCGAAGACCAAGACCAGCCCGCCCTCGATGCCGAAGTCGGAGCGGCACGCGACGCAGACATGCGGCACCAGCTCGACAGACCCAGCGCGGGTGAGCACCCAGGCAAGGTTGCAAGGAGTTCAACTCCAGCGGAAGGCCGCCCGGACTCCCAGCGCCTACAAGAAGAGATAACCGTATGCCAACCGTTCCAGGCTGCCCACCCTTGAGCACGCCGAACTTCGTCCTCATCAATGCGAAGCTCCTGTGCTGCAACAGCCTGGAAACCAGGTGGCATCTTCCCAAAAACTCACGACGCGACCCCCAGGGTGAAGCGATGTACGTGATGAGATGTGCTCCGCGACGGGCAACACCTCGAAGACCTCTACGCCCACGTGTCTTCCACGCCCACGACTTCCAAAATGGCAGCACCTCCTCCCTCTGCGGGGCGAAAAGAGGCTAATGGAAAACCAGCGTTTGCTGCTGTTGGGGCAGGTGTCGCTGGTGCTGCCAGGGCCGCTGGCGCAGGGGCAAG